CTCTCTCGATAACAATAGGGAATCCATGTTTCCAAACAAATTAACAAATTTAAACAGTAACAACACATGTTGATTTAAGACTTGTTTGTGAAAGTCTTCAACCCCTCCTCCGGTTTCGCAAGACTGGACAAACTTCCTGCTGGTGTTTGATCATGCATGCAAATGGCTCTGAAACATAAAAGAATGGGAAAACAAACAAAAACAAAAAAATCAGTTTGGATACAGTGTACATGTTCTACTAAATAAAAGGTGCTGTTAACTCCAACGGCAGTTCATACGTACTAGTGTACCAGCAACCTAGGTTTCACCTCTTTTGACATATGCTGCCTGTTGTGATAACATATTGTATTCAGTGAAACTAAATTCAACGAATGTTCGATACTTTACAAATGACTGCAAACACCATAACCACTTTATTAATAAGTGATATAAATAGGACATGGATTGCAGGGCCACAAAATAAAGTAACAGAAAGAAAAAATACTTTTGAGTATTTGTCGGTGAAACTTCAAACTGCCTACAATCTCCAAGCAATTTAATGCTTTTAAAAACTGAAATACATTCTTTCAGTATTTAATAACAAAATATCCACTACTCTGTCAAAAAAATTGTTCTCCCGTGAATGATGAACTTACTCTACAACTCTTGTTATTGATTCTTTGTTCTCTTTTGCTGAGACACCATTGTAGCCAATGTATTAAAGGGTATCTAGAACATGATCTTCAACAAGAATGTATCCGAGCTTCATTTCTGATGCACTTCTAAGCTAAAGTGAGATCAAAATTTGTTTTTATACGTCAGATCATCATCATAAGGTATATATGTATATAGGGTAAGTCATTTTGCATGTAGATACTTTCCATATTTAGTGATCTTGGTTTGGGTATGCATTTAAACATTCTGTACATAAGATAACAAGATATTTGCATTTCAACAGTTAACATAATATCCCAACCACTTTTAGTGAAGGGTGCATCCTTATAAAATATCATCATCATCATCATCATCACCATTGTAATTCATCCTAAAATTAATTATCAAAGACATGCCTTAAGACAGATTTTCCTTAATGATTCATCTTTCAAATCCTCAATCACAAATGATCTGCTGAGCTCATTATAAATTTTAAGTGCAAGAAAGTTTGGGCATGGCCCACCCTGGACAATGGACATAGCCATGACTTCACCAGCAGTCAAAAAAACATCCCTTGCTACAGCCAACACCAAACGCTGTTGGGAATCCATCAGCGAACAGCCTGGTTTCACAGTATTCAAGCATTTCTATAAAATTACAGAATTGAAAAGGGGTCTAAGTTAAAACTTGCAAAGTATTTAAAAACAAAAAGTCTTGCAAAAGACAATGAGAAAATATTATCTACATCAGGGTTTAGCTCTTTTAAGATTTTAAATTCCATGACTTTCCATGACTTTTTTCATGGCTACCTTAAATTGTCCTCATCTAAACTTGACCTTTTTTCTTTTGAAAATCACCTTTTATTTTCAGTATATTTTTTGTCCACTCGAAACATGAATGTACATGTCTCCAAAGTGCTACCTCAAATTATAACATTACTTGAGTGGGGGTTTCTATTTAATAGCAATTGTAACAGATTCTCATGCTATCTGTTGTTAAATGAAGTGTCTCAAGTACCTTTGTCTAAGATTGTACTTACTATAATGTGCTAGAATTTATCTCTAACAGAAAATATCATATGACCCCTTTTATTCCAAGTAGACATCTACATAGTGTTGGTGGATACTATCAGTGTTTACTTTAGGAGCTTTGGGAGTAATACGTCAAAGATGAGAGACTTTCCACCTGTAAAAACTTTCGCTTTGGTCCCCCATCATCAATGGCTGGATCACCTCAAAAGATAACTTTGATGGTATTGGTGGGACAAAACTACTCATTACGAGCTCTGGTAAAGTCCCACCACGAGTGTTTCCTTCTGACAGTTACTCTTATTTCATCCTCCTTTACCTTTGTTGCAAGATTACCAATTTCTTCTTTCAAGTTCCTTGCCCTTGAATTGCACCTTACAGTATAAATAAAGGTGACAAGATAATTGATCAAGGAAATTAATTCTCAATACTAAGTATTTTTCTTACTCCCATGGATGGGGCATTTGAAACACTGCAACAAGCACTTTTAGGGGCATTTACTCAGCTCAAAAAACACACTGTCTAATGTCTAAGTTTTACACATCAGCTCATTAGGAAACCTTGATCGACCATAAACTTTCTAGTCCTTTCTACTGTTACATAATCTACAAATTTGAACATTCAAATACCTTTTCCCTTAGGGCTGTCTTCAGCAGTTGAGAAAGGATCTGGAAATTCCTCCTTTGACTCTGCACATATATCAACATGATCGTCAATAACTTCGATTGGGAACTTAGCCCAACATATTGGACAGTCAACATAGTGTGAAGTTTCTCTGTGTGTAACTTGAGCATTCTTGTCCTGCTGCATGAACTCCACAGGTTTGAAGTTTTCACCTTCTGAGTCGCTGTCGATCTCGGTGATGGAACTTGTAGGAGACTCTGTCAGTATGCCATTCAGTTCTTCAAACATATCTCTGGCAGGAAGCAAATAGAATATGATCCTTGCATACCCAAACCCAGATTCCTCTTTATATCGATTTAGGGTAGATGGCTCAGGGGGTGAAGTCCCAGGAATTGACTTCACTTCACCTCTATCCTTGTAAACCAGACGGTATTCAGCCTGAGGGTGAGATTTTGAAAAAAACATAATTTTGCCTGTTGAAAATTCGTAATTACAATACAGTTATGTTTCCAACCCCAACCTAAACCATATTAAATTAAACAGCCAAAAAGCAACAAAAAACAGCACTAGCGGAATGTTGGATGCTAATAACATTTCTGCAAGAAGTTATGTGCATTGTATCAATAAGTCTTGAATCCCTTCTGGCTGGATCTAAAATTACTTTAACACCATCCAGACACCAAATACGCTTGACAACAGAAATGCCATATGCTATGATCTAAGAATATTCACAAGGATATTTTCAACCACGTGTCTTTTGGTTGTCAGCGCCAACCAAAAGACACGTCGGCTCTGGGAACGAGATTACCATGTTTTAAACCAAGGCACGCATGCGCCGTGAAACCGGAACTCTTAAAATCTTGGAGTCTGGAAGTTGATTATTCCAGAGCTCCGTGTCTTGGCGCTGATCAAAAGACACGTGGGCTCTGGGAACGAGATTGCGTCCCGCCATTTTAAAAAGTGGAGAAGGTCCTGGGGACGAGGTTGTGGAAAAATATTTTTGTACTGGGATAAAAAAATGTTTGTACTGGAAAAACATTTTTGTACAGGTAAAATATTTTTATACTGGGATAAATATTTTTGTACTGGGATAAATATTTTTGTACTGGGATCAATGTTTTTGTACTGGGATAAATATTTTTGTATTGGGAAAAATATTTTTGTACTGGGATAAATATTTTTGTACTGGGATAAATGTTTTTGTATTGAGAGAAATATTTTTGTATTGGGATAAATATTTTTGTACTGGGATAAATATTTTTGTACTGCCCCTGTGGGCCACCGTAATAACCATGTGATTAAATGTAAATTCTCTTTGCTCTCGCCATCATTACGTCAACAGCTCGTGATAATCCTGTGTTTCTATCGAGTTATGCAAACACGACTTTTAACCAATCAGCGCGCGTATTTTCTTAGGACTGTTTTCGAAATAAATTTAACGATGCGTTTGTCACGTGATGAATGAATTTTTGACGTACATATGTGGAAAGAGGACTTTTGAAGTTAGAGTTGCTCTCCCTTGAGCCCCAAGCAAGTGTTAATCTTTTCTTGTGCGCACACAGCTTACTAAAAACTAATTCTTGCAAAATCTCGCAGCCTCGTTTTTTAGTGGTTATGTCCGATTCGCGGTCACGATTTTATCACAAAACTGTCTCGCAGTTTCGATTTTTTGTAACGCTTAGAAAGTCTCGAAGTACCAATTTGTTTAATTGTTTGTTTTTTTTCAAATATAAATGATGTCTGAACATCTCGAGCTCGTATTTAAATCTATCTTTATTAAATAAGTTCTATAAACAATAGCCTCCATTCGGCGCGAAAATATGCTCGGATATTTGTCCTTTCCGATAGCGTAGCTCGAGGAAAACTGTGAACTTTGAGGAACAGGCAATGTCCAAGGAGAAATATCCGAGCATATTTTCAAACTCATTGGAGGCTATTGTGTTTATTATCGCTCAGATATATTTCGCAACACACGCAGGTTTGAAAATAGGGGATTATACACAAATATCCGTACGTGGACCGAATGTGGGAAGTAAAGCTAGTTGTTGTTGTGGTATTAAATTCAGATCAAAATTAAAGTGAGACCTAAGCAATGAGCAAAAGGAAATATTATAATCTACATGCTTATCAGGATTAGTTTTCTATCATCATTAGTTGGCAGTTATTAAACTTCCAAGGAAAACAAACCCTTGATACAACAAACATCGAGGTTAATCAGCTTAAACGGAAGTTGTATGATATGAATGCTATACGATCGATCCTCACATTTAAATCCTAAAATTGTTCTCGTATGTTACAAAGAAAATCCAGGTGGTGATTGCGCTAAGGTTATCATTTGTGCGGAAACTTTGCAAAAAGTTCTCGAATGAGAAAAAAATGACTTCAAGAAAGTTTTTCCAGCACTTCCTTCACGAGAGGAAGCGCTCACGAGCCGCTTCGGCGAGTGCAATTTCAGCTTTTTGAAAAACTCACGAGTGCAAATTACCTCCAAATTGAACTCGTGCAATTTCAGCTTTTTGAAAAACTCACTCGTGCAAAATAGTTCCAAATTAAACTCATAACCGTATGATTAAATGTAAATTCTCTTTGCTCTCGCCATCATTACGTCAACAGCTCGTGATAGCATATATAGTTCTGTGTTTCTATCGAATTATGCAAGCACGACTTTTAACCAATCAGCGCGCGTATTTTCTTAGGACTGTTTTCTAAATAAATTTAACGATACGTTTGTCACGTGATGAATGAATTTTTGACGTACATATGTGGACAGAGGACTTTTTGAAGTTAGAGTTGCTCTCCCTTGAGCCCAAAGCAAGTGTTTATTTTCTCTTGTGCTCACGCAGCTTACTGAGTCTGAAAAACTAATTCTTGTTCCTCCTAAATAGCCATACAGCACCTGGTTTGTCAACAATTTTGTTAGTGGTAGTAATAGTTTATATTCTTGGCACGTGCGAAAAAGTGCAACTTAACACTATAAAAATCATTTCTAACCTGGGCCACAACAACTGAACCAGATGTACATCCGACTCCCGCAAGCTTGGGAAATGAATAAAAGGAAAGACACAGATATCGCTCTTTACACTTACGCCAGACACCCAGCAAGTTATCATTAAATTAAGTGGAGACAGGAGAGTGAAAGACGCAACTCCAAAATGAAGTTGACATTTTCCCTTATGTTACTGTGTGCGTGGTCTATCTGTGTTACTCCTTACAAGATTCAAAAGGTGAGACATAAAACATGAAACTACCAAGGCTACCTAAGACTTTTCAGTCAGGCACTAAATCAAAGTATCAAGTGTCCAGTCTTAAACTGAAAAAAGCATTATACCAACTTGATTTTTGCAATAACCGTCCAAGTTTCTCACGCTCATTGGCAATAACGCACGGATCTTGAAAACTTTGTCAAACTTTCACAGCGTTTTTAATGCTGTCAGTTACCGATATAAGGCGCAGATAGAATCTGAACGCGATTTTTTTTTTAAAAGAGGAAACTGGTAAATACTTTTAAGATGACTTTAAATTCCGATCGGAGTCAACTGTAAGGCGAAAAATCATGTGTTTACTCTGTTGTGCACTCGATGAATGTCATCTGTCCATTTTGACATGTTCAGAATTCTGATGCAAATGGACCGAACTGGATAATAACCAAGCGGGTTTTTAAGAATTTCTGAGTGGATTAAAGGTTAGATGTAAAAATTATGTTTCTTCAATTCCGTTTTGAAATACTGAACTTAGTTTGGGAATCATTAGGCTAAACTCGGGTTCTCTCGGCTCTCTCTAAAAAACCCATTTGAAAAAAATCAAAATTTCCGTCCACGCTGAGGTAATTACATGTCCTTTTCATAGTTCCTGTTATGAAAAATATTTCTAGTTCTTTTGTTTTCAGTAGATCCTAAGGTTCAGCTGTAACTTATTATTACACCATAAGCGAATACATAACTAAGAAGGCTTGTACTTTACAACGTTCGGTTTACCTCGATTTTCCTTCGAGTAACCTTCAGCTTCGAGGTTTACCCAACAGACAGTAACAAAGGGAAGTAAAATTCAGGGCTTTCCAAGCCCGAAGGCAATGCAGGGACCACCCCGTTTCCGCCAACAAAACTCGTTATCTATCATCGAAATCCGTCATTTGGACGTACAGTATCGTAAAGTGTATTGTCTAAAATATCTACTAAAAACGATAAAAATGATAACCTAATTGGCGCAATCACCACCTGGATTTTCTTTGTAATATACAAGAACAATTTTAGGATTTAAATGTGACGACCGATCGTATAGCATTCATATCAAGGGTTTGTTTTCCTTGCAAGTTTAATAACTACCAACTAATGATTGTAGAAAACTAATCCTGATAAGCATGTAAATAATATTTCCTTTTGCTCATTGCTTAGGTCTCACTTTTAATTTTGATCTCAATTTAATACCACAACAATAACTAGCTTTATTTCCCACATTCAGTCCACGCACGGATATTTAGTAAATAAACCCCTTCAGGCGGCTGGTATGTCGGCTGATGATGTCTGCGGCTGAGAAATATATTTGAATATTTGGCCGAGAAGCGAAGCTTCGAGGGCAAATGTGAAATTTCGAGGACAATCTCTCAGCCAAGGACAGTATCAGCCGACATACCAGCAAGCCAGAAAGGGGTTTATTTATTTTATAACCCTCCCATTAATTTTCATATCACAATTAAACCGCTCGTTAACGTGGTAGAAAAGCCAGTGGTGATCTGATGGCGAATGCGCGTGATTGACGTAAGCAAGCAAGTACATTTGATTGGTTTAACTAACTTTATTTCCACTGTGATTGGACCAAAACTTGACAAGCTGTCATGTGAAATTAACTCGCGTAACACCCCTTAGGGTGCGTTCCTTTGGTGTGATCTGGATCAGGATCAGTGATCCAAGATCAGTCTGGATCATGGTGCTTTAAAACAACCGATGAATCCATTCTGGTCATGGATTCATCGGTTTCTTTGATGTGCCATGATCCAGACAGATCTTGGATCATTGATCCTGATCCAGATCACCCCAAAGGAACGTAGCCTCAGATGAAAAACTAAAAACTTGATGTATTTTCCGGAATAGCATTTGCGACCAGCTATTAACTGTCACTATCACTACACTCAACAAAGCGAGTTTGGTTTCCTTCCATGTAAAATAAGAGAAAGAAAAATTTGAAACTCTTGCGCTGCCTGTGTTTCTCTTCGACGGAAGCAATCGGAGGACAAATATCGACGTAGGCGGGGGTTATTGCGTGATAACTGTACTGTGCGTATTCACCACGTGACGTAAAGTAACCAATAAAATCGAGTCAAAATTAATGCGTGGGTTATAATTGTGTATAATCTCCAAATTTCAAAACTGCATAACTATCTTGAATTCTCTGAACNCCCCCCCCCCTCACGTTTAGAGGAGGCTATGTAAACACGGAAAAAGTGCTCTATTTATTAATTCGCATCTGAATTTGATTGTATGTTTACGTGTATCAATTGCGGAAGTTTATATTTAATGAGTAAGATATACTTACATTCCGCAGCTGGTTCAGGTCAGATTCATAGACTAAACTTATATGCTCATGAAGCTTCCGTATTCTTAATCTATCGTAAGCTTTTTTAAAAGCAGACCGCACTCAAGACTCCACATCTTCCGCCGTTTTCTTTTACACTCGTACCCATGTGCTTCACGCAAGACAGACGTGTTTATTTCTGCACTTTTATTATCTCAATTGTGATCCGGGTAATTGGAAATCATTTCATAAGCTCTCTTCGCAGACAGTATTTTTCAGCAGCGTGAAACAAAAGCCAAAAATTGGTCTGTATTCGCAGGCTAGCTGCGGAGAAGACCAGACAGCAGAGACAATTTGTGCATGCTTTGACAAAAAAAAAAAAAACAATTGAACTTTAACCTAAAAAAATTGAGCTGTCTACGTTGATTCGTTATAGTACTTATACATATACTAGCGTGACGTGTGTTTCCACGGGATTTTCTCGTGCCTTCGCTTAATTCTGGTTTCTTTTGCCTCCAGTAAAGCCTCTTGTAAGAAGGATTCAGAGGATGCTACACGCTTACAGTAAATACAGCGCGTTTCAAACGGGAGCAAGCAACGCACTTTCCCGGGAGGGGAACTCTCATATAAAAAGGACAGTGGTGCTCGTCAGAAATTTTGAAAAGAATTCCAAAGAGCCCCTGTTTTGTGGGCGTGGCTTGAAATTTTTCAACCCCTAAGAAGCACCAGTGGTAGCCTGCAAAACAGGCTCACCTTTGAGTCACGCGCTCGAGTTGAGAGCAAAGCGATCCGGCGGGAAGGAGTCTGGTGAAGAGGCGCCAAGAAAGTCTTCGCCGCTCGATTTCGTGCTCGCGGCTACGGCGCGCGCTTGTGCTCTAACGTGAGCCTGCTCGCAGGCTAAAATTACAATTTTACAGCTTAAATTACAATTAAAAGTAAACTTACAATAATAAAAACAACTATGATAAAAATGCATGACGGAAGAGGTGAGTTTTTAGCTTGGTTTTAAAAATACTAACAGTGCTGGCGCTTCTTATGTCAAATGGTAGCGCATTCCAAAGTTTCGGTGCAGCACAGGTAAAAGAACGGTCACCTATTGTAGCTTCTGATTTAAAACGCGGATAACTAAGTAAAACTTTATCGCTAGAATTCCTTAGATTATATTTGGATGGGAGCCTAAGAGAGATAAGAGACGATAAATAAGTAGGCGCTAAAAATGTTCAGTTTGTAGAACTATAAACTAGAGTCATCTCCATTCAGCTCAATATTCCTGTACCTTTATGTTCACAGGTCTCTGGTAATACATGTAAGACTCGACAGGACTGCTCCAAAGATGAATGTTGTGCGTTCCTGAAAACGAGAGCTGTTAAAGTCTGTCAGAAGATACGTTTACTTGGAGAGACATGCAATCCCCATGAAATTGTAAGTAGTGTCAGAGCGTTCTAAGCGTTCTAAGACCCTGACTGTGTTCATCTTAGAATTCGAATGCTTTTCTTTTTACTCATAGCGAGATTTGGTAACTATAAGTCCAACGTAAAGTTTTAAAAATGTTTTAGCCTTGATAAACCGAGATTTATATGTGGGTTATTGACCAAGCGTGAGGTCAAGATGGTTGGGTACGTATTGGCCATTTTATTTTTTATTTTTTATTTTTTTGTGCTTGTTTAAAGACCGAAACGAAGTCCAGGTCCATAAACGCGCCAAAAAGGAACGAGGCTTATATCCAGCCATCTTGACCGAACAAGCTTGGTCAATAAAGGATTTATTATATGGAGAAAAGACACTATCTTGTTGCGGGACACAGCGGGTAACCCGAGCGGGTAAGATAGCGCCATCTTGCCCGCTCGGGTAGCCAATCACTGCCCAGGATTCGGTTTATTTTGCACGCTCACGGAGCTAGCCATATAATAAATATATCTTATTAACCAAGCGCGAGGGCCGTACATGAACTAGGAGAATATCGGCCCAAGGTCTTGACAGTAGGGATCGAGCGTAGCAAGGTCCGTACAAAAAAGACCGAGGGCTGATATTGTCCCAGTACGATCCCAAGCAAGTTTATAAGAGATCTATTACGCAAATTAAATTACAAGCCTGCAAATAACAGTCGGTCATCGGACAGCTTAGCCTGGTCGGACCCCTCTGACCAGGCATTTCTGCTACAATGAAAACTGTGTTAACTGGAAATTTGTTGCCGAATATGGAACAAGTTATTTCATTGTACTGCCACACTATACTACGCAAAAATGCTTTGTTGTCAGTTTCATCTTGATTCCATTTCTGAGAAATAATTTTATCACGCGTAATGCGTCGTCTCAAATGTCACGTCGAATTGTAAACAAGCCACATCAGCGCCACTATTCCTGTGCATTAATTTACACATTTTGCAGTGCATCGTGAAAGATCGTGAATGCCCATTTCGTCTGGATTACGTTCGTCTGAAACACTACTAAAATCTGAGGTCTTATGTTATTATTCGTTGTTTGTTGTTATCTGCAAGTGTTGTGGAATATCTTTTCAGTCGTAATTTGACCCGATTAAAATATTATCTAAATTGAATACACGGTCCAAATTCTCACGTTTCGTTTATCTGAATGCAATCACTCCAAAATGTAACTAAATGTTTTTCTAGTCCGTATGTCAAAAAATCAGTTTTATAGCTCTTTTTCTTATTATGAGTTTTTATACTGCCAAGCTGTCCACGCGGGAGATCGTTTCATCGCTTTTCCGGTGGTTCTCCTTAGACGTCGGGAATACACGTGTGATCAAAAACATTTTGGCGAGGGGTCTACACTTAAATACCAAAATGTTAAAAATATGAACTTGTTAGACAAAGTAAATACTACTGCAAACCACTTTTTCTAAATAAAAAAGTAGGAACTTTCAATTTCATTTATATTTCAGCCTGGACTCCCAGAAATATGTCTGTGTCAGCAAGGATTGACTTGTACACCTGTGGTAAATGGAAGTGCAGCTCATCAATGCCTGAAGATTCCGGACAGCCCACGTGAACACGAGGAGGAACACGTTAGGCGCTACAGCTTATCGCTTTAAGCAGCATATTTTCATTTTATGGCAAAAGCAGATTATTAAGTTAAAAGCTTTTCTGAGAATTTATTAGGGAGCTCAAGAAAACCACGACGGCAACGGCAACGGCAACGTCATTGTGCCTTGTTTTATAGCGTAAGCGTATCCTTGTAATGTAAGATTCGCATGGTAAATAGTTTAAGTACAGTAGATTAACATATTTTATTATATGGCTTGTGTTTGTAGCCGATATAACGCGCGCTCTGATTGGCCAATTCTAGGGAATTATTCTCCCGTAATGCCCACGGGTTGATTACGGGCCCGCAAAACCAAAGCGAAAAGCCATATAATAAACAACTTATTAACCTCGAATTAACGTTCCGTCTTTAAGGTAAAATCTCAAACCTCAGCCTTGCCGTATTGACCTCGCTATCGCTCGGTCTAAACGGCAACGTCTCGGTTTGAGATTTTCCCGTAAAGACCTCACTCTCGGTTAGTAATTAGTATTTTATTGTATTCTAACTAGAGTAAGTATTGTGTCGTATTGTCGTATTGTGTGATTTGCAATAAAAAAAGTTTTTATGTCACCTGCTCGTTTATACAGTCAATTTGTATCGGGTATTGACATGACATGTGTAGGTCACTCAAGGGTAAAGGAGGGTAGATTGCTGCGTTCGTATTACCGTCATTTGCTACCTTAGACAATACCAAGAATCACGAGACAGTCAGGCAATTTCATTACAATAGAAGGTAGGATTGTGTAATTGTCACACCCTATTTAGTAAAAGTACGTGGCCTCGTTTTCCTGGATCACAAGAGGGTAAAAGAGCGATGCTAGCAGTGACTCGTCCTCTTAGTCTGTAACGCTAAATCTTGAAGTCGTTCAAGCAATCAAAGCAAGCAAGGAAACAAAGTTAAGTACTTTCTCCTTTTATATACTGTATAATTGTTCAAATTCTTAAGGGTTATNGCTAAATCTTGAAGTCGTTCAAGCAATCAAAGCAAGCAAGGAAACAAAGTTAAGTACTTTCTCCTTTTATATACTGTATAATTGTTCAAATTCTTAAGGGTTATAGGAAATTAGCTCCAGTCAGAGATTTTCGCTTACCAATCACCATGCCAATCTTACGCCAGCTAATACAATCGTTCACACATACCGCACTTTTTCACTTTTTCCTCGTGTTTCAGTTTTTATCCAAACATTGAGGCACAATTACATGGTGACGGTGCATGTTTCATGTTTTCGTATTGTGTATTGTACATATCATAAAACAATTATTAGATTCGGTTTTTGTGATATCCAGAGTAATCAAGGTCTCGGTAAGGGTTATCAGCCTCAGCTCTCGGCTTCTGCTGA